CAGCGCCACCAGTGGTCGTTCAGTGAACTGCAGTTTTTACTATTTTCGGACTATTTATAGACAAAATGCTAATTGTTAAATATACACCACATTAAAACTTAATAATAAAGACCGCAGCAGCGTTACGGCAGTCGTACATCTTGCTGGCCGTGTCGTAGCAGACGATCTTCTTGTCCAGGCCGACGCTGACCACCAGCAGCTCGCTGGCGGGGGAGAAGGCCAGGCCGGAGCCGGGGGCTTTATGGGCGCTGTCAAACACGTGGATCTCCTTCTGGGTGTTGGAGTCCCACAGGACCACGGTGCCGCTGTCGGACACGCTGCCCAGCAGGGAGCGCTTTAACGCGGACAGCCTCAGGTCATGGATGGGCTGAGGATGAAACATTTGTGGTTTGAAGTTCCTTCCATGTGAATATTTTCTGCTTTTGTTACGTCACAGTAAACTGAAGATCTCTGTCGAATAAAACACCATTGTGAAGAATTTACCTTCAACTCAGGGAACTTGTAGTGGGAATGTTTCTCTCTCTTTTCTGCCATTTTATGGATGAATAATAAATCAAATAGTCAATCTAGAGTAAGGCTGCATTATCAATGAACCTGCTGACACTCCCATCTTTAAGTATTGTCCAACTAACAGCCCAAAGATAGTCAGTTTATTATAATATGACATTTTATTGTCCAATCAGCTAATATATTGACAAGAATAAAAACAATAACTAGGGTGAAAGATTAACTACAGACTTCACTAAATGAGGCGTGTGCTCTCAGGTGTGTGTTACCTGGTTTCTCCTGGTTGGATTAAAGCTTTTCATGTGAAAGATGAGAGTATAAAGCACACAGCAGAGCAGTGACACTACTGTTCTCTGCAGACTCTGACCTGGTTGCTGCCGTGGCCGAAGGCTTTGCTGGACAGGTTGGTGGTCAGACTGTGGAGGACCAGATCTCCGCTGGTGGAACCGGAGGCGATGTAGCTGTCGTTGGCATTAAAGGACACACAGGTCACCTCCTCTTTATGGTCCTGAGAGACAAGAGGGAGACTGAGATGTGGAGTGTGGAGTGATAGTGATGTTACGGCTGT